GAGACCAAGAGAGAGAGACAGAGAGAGAGAGAGAGAGACAGACACAGAGAGAGCGACCCTTAGAAGGGGACCCCTCATATACGCTTTGTGTACCCTATACAACCCAAGGGCCCACACGCCAGAGCCGATTTTGTAAAGGAGGTAGGGGACCATATTAGGGGCCCATGCAACTACTCGTAAGCGGTCTCTACCCCAAACCCTAAGCCCTTGTGACTCGTAGACCCCAAAACCCCATATCCTGAACGCCTAAACCCCAAACCGCAAACCCCAATCCCTAGACCCCAAACCCCAAACCCTAAACCCCAAACCTTAAACCCCAGACCCTAAACACCAAACCCTAAACGCCAAACCTGAAACGCCAAACCGAAAGTGCGACCGGGTCACGTTTCACCGCCAAACTGCTGTGTTTCGGCGATCCTGGGGTCCGGGGACGGGCTGGGGTTTGGGGTTTAGGGTTTAGGGTTTAGGGTTTAGGGTTTAGGGTTTAGGGTTTAGGGTTTAGGGTTTAGGGTTTAGGGTTTAGGGTTTAGGGTTTAGGGTTTAGGGTTTAGGGTTTAGGGTTTCGGGCTGAGAGCTTTTGATTTGGTAGCATCTTGGCTTTAGGGACTTTCAGGGTCTTTCGGAGCTTTAGGGTGTTGTAGGGACTCGATTAATGTTGGACTGACTTTAGTATAAGGAGGGTCTATAATCACAAGTTTCGAAAATTTATTCTGCGAACCGAGTTTGTTCAGGGTACCCGCTATTATCACAAGTTTTTTCCGGACGTTTTTTTTTTTTTTTATAAGGGTTTGTGTTTTGGGTTAAGAGCTTTCGCAGTAAGACTTGAAGCCCTGAGGGCTTGGGCTCCAGGAACCTTAAAGAGCCAGAGCGCGGAGAATCCAGAAATCTAAGCCCGGCCAATCCCATGTAAAGCCTAATGGAAATTCATTACGAAACGAGGCCCCAAACAAATTTTGTGATAGGTAGCCCACGGGCCGGTCAGACTGTTTTTAGTAAGTTTGTCTGGCTACCCTCTATAATACCAAGTTTTTTTTCGGATGATTTTTTTTTGAGGGTTTGTGTTTTGGGTTAAGGGCTTACGCAGTAAGGCTTGAGGCCCCGAGGGCCTTGGGCTCCAGGAATCTTAAAGGCTGGAAAGCTTCAGGCCTTGAGGTCCTAAAGGCTTGAGGCCCTGAGGGCGGTTCCCCCCCCCCCCCCCCCCAATTTGTTTGGGGGGGTCGCCGGGCCACGCGTTTATAGAGGGTCCAAATTTGTTTGGGGGGGGGGGGGCCCCCATACTAAAGACAGTGCAACATTAAAGTTGCTGCTGGGTTCAGGGTTGAGGGCTGGTGGTTTGCATTGTTGGGAATCAGGTTGGTTTAAAGTTTAATTAGGGGTTAAGTTTTGGGGTAGCGTGTTCAGGTCAAGCCCAAACCCTTAAACTCGGAACCCTGAACCTAGTTTGGTCTGGGAATTGGGGCTGTAGCCCGTCCCTCTACCCTAAACCCAAAACCCTAAACCCCAAACCCTAAATCCTGAACCTAGAGCCCCTTAACCCAGACCCTAAACCCCAAACCCCAAACCCCAAACCCTAAACCCTAAACCCTAAACCCTCAGGGACTCTGGGGGCTTTAAAAGGTTCAGGTTTTAGGGTTCAGGCGTTTCGCTCTTCGGATAGCTTGTAACGGGTTCGGGGGTTGGGGGCCTGTGGAAATTTGGGTTTGGGTTTCGGTTCAGGTCTTTTAGGGCTTAGGGCTTTTGGGGGGTTTTGGGGCTTTAGGGTCTACAGAGGGTTTAGGGTTGAGGGTTGAGGGTTTAGGGTTTAGGGTTTAGGGCTATAAGAGATCTTTGGTTGCAGTTTCGTATTCAGAGCTTCGACAAAGGATATACTGCGTCTGTCCAAGGGGTGTCCGCTGGAGCCTGGTGTCCCCTATAACAGCGCCCACACCCAGGTTCTAGGGTTTAGGGTTTAGGGTTTAGGGTTTAGGGTTTAGGGTTTAGGGCTAGGGGGCACTCGCCTAAGCCTGAAGTCTAAACCCTAAACCCTGAAGACGAGAACCCTAAATCGACCCGAGACCCTAGAACCTGGAACCGAAACTCTGGCAAACAACAGAAGCCCAGAACCCTAAACCCTAGAAACCTCAGAGCCCTACCTTAAACAACCCTAGAAACCCTAAACCCTAAACCCTGAACCCTGAACCCTAAACCCTAAACCCTAAACCCTAAACCCTAAACCCTAAACCCTAAACCCTAAACCCTAAACCCTAAACTCCTGGCCAGGGGGCTTGAGAACGTTGTTGGCTGCGAAGGCGAAGGCCGAGGAGAATCCTGAGCTCCTTGGCTTCCAGGCTTCGGTTTAGGGTTTAAGGTTTAGGGTTTAGGGTCTAGGGTTAGGGTTTAGGGTTTAGGGTTTAGGGTTTAGGGTTTAGGGTTTAGGGTTTAGGGTTTAGGGTTTAGGGTTTAGGGTTTAGGGCTTAGGGTTTAGGGTTAGGGTGTTAGGCTACCAGGCTTCTGGAATTTAGAGTATTCGTGGTTTTTAGGCCTTGGGGTGTAGGGGGTTCGGGTTCAGGGGCTTAGGGGTTTAGGAGCTACCAGGTTTCTGGAATTTGGGCTTTAGCGGTTTTCGGGTTTATAGGCAGTAGTTAATACATGGCGGGTTTACTGACAAGATAGGACAGTCGGACGAACAACCAGGCTTCTTGTTCGGGGCTGGCCAAGCGCGATTGGAGGCTGGCCCTAAACCCTAAACCCTAAACCCTAAACCCTAAACCCTAAACCCTAGACCCTAGACCCTAGACCCTAGACCCTAAACCCTAAACCCTACACCGTGCCAAGGGTGGCTTCTTCAGCTCAACATATAGTCGAGCATACTCCGCAAGGCCCCTACACCCTGAACCCCTGAACCCTATGTGGCTCGGGAGCCTGACACCCTAAACCCTAGACCCTACACTCTGATACGCCTACACCCAAAACCCCAAAACCCAAACCCCAAAACCCCACAACCCCGAAACCCCACCCCCCCCCCCCCCCCCCCCCCCGTGTCAAAGGCGCTGGTAGCGGAAAAAGGTTGGCGACGGGATGAGGCCTGTGGAAGGAACAGGGTTTTCATTTTCACAGTTTTGGGTATAGGGTTTAGGGCTTTGGCGTTTAGGGTTTCGGGCTTTGGGATTGGGGTGTAGGGCTAGATTGAAGTATCCCCAAGTTTTCTAAGCACGTCGGCTTCTCTAAAAGCCAACAAGCCCTCAATCCCCCGGCCCCAGTAAAGATCTCAACCTGTAAACCTGAACCCTCAACATCGAAACCCCAAAACCTTGAACTGTGAAGGGTAAACTCTTGGGCACAGAGGGGACAGAACCTAAAAAGTCTATACCCTAAACCCTAATCCACTAGAGCCCATTCGAAGCTCTAAAGACGGTTAGCAACCTCAAAAACGGTATCAGCCCCAGAAAACTCTAAACCTTAAAGCCCTATAGCCCTAAACTAAAACCTAGCCTAACATCATAAACTCCCAAGCCCCAAACCCTAAACCCTAAACCCTAACACCCGAATCCCTAATCCCTTATCCCTAAACCCCAAACCCTAAACCCTAAACGCGAGCCTGGGCTGAAACAGTTCGCAGTCACCTGCGAGCCTTTCGCCTTCAGCCTGGCATTGGGGTTTGGGGTTTGGGGTTTAGGGTTTAGGGTTTATTAGGGTTCAGGGCTTCGGGGATCGGAATCAACGGGTTCAGGGTTTGGTGTTGGGGCTTTGCATTGCAGGGGTTTAGGTTTTAGGTTTTAGTTTTAGGCTTTGGGTTTTCGGTTTTAGGCTTCAGGGTTTTAGGGTTTTAGGGCTTTAGGGCTTGCAGTCCTTGGGGGGTTGTAGGGTTCTAGGGTTTCTTTTGGGTGTCTCAAGTACTCAGGGGTTGCCTCTACAGGCTTTGAAGGGGGTTTCGGAGGACCTTGGAGGATTTAAAGGGTTGAGGCGTGTCTCATCGAGGGTTGACAGCGCCCGTTGGCTCGTGCCTGGGCGCCCTGCACCCCTGAAGAGTCTTTAGACCTAGTTGTTTAGGGTTTAGGGTTTAGGGTTTAGGGTTTAGGGTTTAGGGTTTAGGGTTTAGGGTTTAGGGTTTAGGGTTTAGAAAAGGTTAACCTGTCAACTCTGGCAGGAATTATACATACCCCCGATGGGTTAAAGGTTCCCTACTCAGCTACTAAGAAAAGTCTCGGCCCGGGTGCTGAGGTAGGTCCCCTGCTTCAGAATTCTTTAAAGGAGGTAAGGGACCATCTGAAGGGCCTCATGTAACAACCCTGAAAATTGAAACCCTACTTTTTACCTACTTTGCTAATTCCCCTACAAAAGGCCCTAATTACATAGCCCCTTTATACCTAAGTAGCTCCCAAATGACCTCCAGCCCCTTGCTAAACCCTAAACCCTAAACCCTAAACCCTAAACCCTAAACCCTAAACCCTAAACCCTAAACCCTAAACCCTAAACCCTAAGCTTACTTTGCACCTACCGTGGGGGCCTTCGTGCAAGCTCCAGTGTGAACAGCACGTTGCAGAGCTTCGAGTCCTCTTGTCCGCCACTGTAAGGTTTGGGGTTTGGGGTTTAGGGGTTTGGAGTTTAGGGCTTAGGGTTTAGTAGGGTTTAGGGTTTGGGGTTTATAAGTGTTTAAGATTAGGGGTTTGGGGTTCCAGCTTCTTTCTTGAAGGTATGCAAAAAAGTTGCTCGAGATGTTTGGGGTTTAGGGCGCGTGCAGGGTTTGGAGTTTTTGGCAGAGGTTTGCATCTGCCGGATGCAGGGTCTTCGGCTCTGCGCATCAACCCTGAACCAGAAGGGCAAGTGCTGTACTTTATCAAGCTAGCTGAGGAGTTTCCAGATGTGTTTGGGTTCGTGATCACCATCAGTACTTGGCTTTCAGCAGCCCTACGTCTCCGAAATAGCAACATTACCCCTACCCCCCCTCCTTTCCGTAGTAGGCCTACTTCTAAGGCCCTTCGGAAAATGTAGACCCTAGTTCGCCCAAACCCTAAACTGTCCTTGTA